TAAATGCTCTGGAATTCCCATTCTTCTCAGAGTCAGCCACAGTTTGTTATAATCCACACAGTCAACTATGGGCAGAGGAAAAAAAATTAAACCCACTGTCTGAGAAAAGGATGGATATTGAGGGGGACTACAAATAGCTCCTATTCAGATTAAATGGAAAAAAATCCAAGAAGTTCCAAGAAGAAAAACTGCTAAGGGTCAATGATGCCAGTTTAAAGACTATGATGTGCCTAACCTAAATTATGATATTCTGAAATGCATTCTTTATATGCATGTGAAAGTTGGACAATGTATAAGGAAGGCAGAAGAACTTGAGGTTTTGGATTATGGTGGAGAACAGTGATTAGATCCTGAACTGCAATGAGAACAAATAAATCTGTTTTGAAGAAGTGCAATCAGAGTGCTCCTTAAATGCAAAGATGGTTTCCACATACTTTGGGCATGTTTAGAGGATTTGTTGTTTTTGTATCTTAACAGAACTGAGTCGTAGCTGCCCCTCCAGTGAAGTTTTCAGAGGCAGTAAATTAATTGCACAGGAGGAGATTGTCCATCCTTCTCCTGTGACCAAGAGGAAGTTAGACGTCGGAAAAATGGCATCATGAGGGTCAGCAACAAACAGGAAGACTCGCAACCAAATGCACTAACACTGTGACTCCAACAATGTACTTAAAGACAGCAGAGACTGTGACGACAAAGGATCTTGTAGGGTTTTATTTATAAGGTTGTTATGGATCGAGCCTTCTACTCATCAGCAGTTAACAGCAAAAGGTCATGGGGCTTGAGAAGATGAGCTATCAGGCTCCATAAAAATTGTTGGCACATGTAAGCAAATTTTTGATGTGATGGTCATATCAGACTCCACAATAATCAGATATAGCCTTGCATTTGCTCCTTAAAATCAATGCCTGAGAACAAATAGGATACTGAATTAACATTAAACCGAAATCTGCTGTCATCAAGCAGGTTCCCACTCAGTGACCTTGTACTGGGTTTCTGAGGCTGTGAATCTTTACAGAAGGAGACTGTCCATTTGTCTCAGCTGGTGGGTTCAACACAATGCAACATGGCACAGAAATCCAGAACATAGTCTCTAATTGAGGTGGTTTTGTTTCCCTTTCTTCTTTTCCCCTGTGTAGTAAGAATTCCTAGGATGTTAATGGGTGGAGTAGGAAGAGGTTAGTAGCCACCCTGCTCATAATTTTCTTGTACAGATGTAGAAACACAGTTTCAAATAACAGTGCTTTTGTTTTGCTTCTTTTCCTCTTGAGAAATAATCTCTGGGTTGTTAACAGTTAAAAAATAGGAAGTTGGTTGCCCACTTAACACAGATACCTATTTTAATAGAGGAAAGTCACCTCTTGAGGGATAAAAATCTACATTAAAAGCAGAATTCTGCAGGATGTAATGGAACCTGGTCCCATTAGGAGGACCCTCTCTGCTCAGGGGCCACTTTACCAGTACTCATGGAAGGCTGTGCAGCACACGGAGTGGGTGGTTTTATTGATGCTTTTGGCATGGTTACTCAGCCCCTAGCCTGCCCTCATGAAGTAGTCTGCTGAGTGGAATTTTGTTTCTGCTACTGAATGGTAGGAAATCCTGGGACATAGTCCTGATGGTCCTAGTTTTCTAGGGATTGGAATAGGAGTGGCATCTACTTCCTAAATAACATGCCTCTGGATGCTCTATGAACTTTGATAAATGTTGATAGTTGTAGAGGGGCTTTCAGGCCTTTTGTTCATGGGGTCACTATGAGTCGTGCTTGACTCAAAGGCAATCAACAACAATCTATAGAAAAGTTAAGGACAGTGAAAGGGCACATTACACCACAGTTCCCCTTGTCCCAAGGCAGTGCACAAATATCCCTGGAAAGTATGAGGAAACTACATAGAGATGGGGAAACAACCATCTCTTCTTCCTTTGTTGTTCTGCTGTCAGTCAGAGCCTCCTCACAGCTGACCCTTCAGTGGTTTTTCAAGGCAGTGAATCACATGGGAGGAGATTACTCATCTTACTCCTGTAGAGCAGCTGGTGGATTCAAACCATGTGCCTTTGTGTTGGCAATACAACTCCTTGCTCATCCTAGAACATCTTAGTTCAAGATGTATTTGCTCTTTTTGTTTGTCTTTACTCTTAATGTTCGCTTCTATTTTTCCAAATCATCATCCAAACCACCCTTACTTAACTAATGAATTAGCAGTATATCCCCAGCTCTAGCAAGGATAGGGTATGTGTATTTAGAGTCTTCTGAGTTGGCCATTACTGATGAAGAATATAATTAATAATCCTCTGCTCATCCTAAAAATAAAACAAACAAACAAACAAACAAACAAACGGTCTGTTCTAGTTCTCTTCCCTGGTGAGCTACGTGTTGTTGTTAGGTGAGCTATGTAGGGAAATAATAGTTAGAAACAAACAAACAAACAAACAAACAAACAAACAAAAAAAGGGAAGTTCTATGACTACTATATCACTAAAATTGCTCTTCCACAGTCCATGAACCCACCAGATAGGATTCATGGGTTCTGTCAACATTTCTGGCATATTGGAAGTTGAATCTCTGGGAGAAGAAAAAATGACATTGTGTTTTCTTGCTCTGAAAATTCATAGCTATGCTGGTCCTAACGATTAATCTCTGTACGATGTGTGGTTATGTGTTAATGTGATTTATGCCAAAGGGATCCTACAAAATATGTCATTGTGGCAAAAAGTCAAGTCTCTGCCTAGTTTTTGTTTCACTGTTAGTGTCATCCACAAATACAACTGGTGCAGGAATGAGACTGGGCCTCCTGCCTATCTGAAGAGGCAATGAATGCATCCATTAACATAGAATCAGACATTCTAAGGATAGAAAACACCACCACACATTTTAGAACAATAATTCAATCATTGTTTTTGATTCTTAATAAAATATGTTCAGCACAGTATTTAAATTGCATTTCTCTGAAAAGCATTTGGTATATTAAATAGCAGAAGGTATATTAAATAGCTCTATAAATATTTTCTGGCATCCTCTTAACAGCATAATGATTCTAAAGAAATTAAAATCCACTGATGCATAAAGATCTTTTCCTTTATAATACCATAAAATAAAAGGGGGGAAAAGTGAGAAAGTTTATTCTCAGAATGCAGGCTTAATAGCTTGCTAGGTATTAGCACATGAATATATAGTTTTTCTGAGTTTCAGAGGAAAGAAAATACTACATATATTATAGTTGTGGTTTTAAAGTACCAGTTTGATAGGAGTTTTAAAAAAAACAGCTAAAAGATAAAAATAAAAGACAATCATTTCTGTTTTGTGTCCTTTCTAAGGAATTAATACATTTCCCCCCAAAAGATATGATCATACTTGGAACTAGCGATAAAACAAATATAGGGATCCTCTATAAAAAGAACATTTTATGACAAGTGAAAAGGAACAAAATCAAAGATACAGGATTAGAAAAAAAAACTGAATAAGGATGCAAAAAGGGCATTTTTAACACATTTTGAAAGCTGGCATAAGATGTAAGCTGATCATGCTTATTTGATTGTATAGATCTTGGAGATGGTTTACAAAGATAAATACTTGTTTTTATCAGTCTCTTTTGCAAGGTGAATTTCTCTCCTCAGGGTTGGCAGTTCTTAGTCTGGTGGTAAAGAGCTTGCCCCAGACTCGGCCAGGTCAAAGTCATTGCTGTGCTGTTGGAACGACTCATAACAGACCCTCCAGCGGGTTTTTAGAGGCTGGAAAACACTTGGGAGGAGACAGTCCATCTTGCCTCACACTAAACTCCCTAAGAACTGACTAAGTGGGTCAGCAGAAAAACCCTCTAAAACTAGAAAGAATGAGGAATCAAAGTGTTAAAATCTGTATACAATGTAAAAACCTCCTTCTAAGCCAGAGGCATTCGCTGTCAGCAGTAACACTGCTAAAGTCTTTGATTTTGTGTACTCAGTACTAGTATATTGTTAGCTAGATGTTACATGTACTTCTGAGAACAATTCTAGTGAGTGTGCTTTTTCCCCAAGAAAAGGAGATATGAAATTGGTTTTCCTGTCCTCAGATCCTCTCCGATCACTAGGAAATCCAGAGCTGTCCCACCAGTGTTGTCATGCTTTCAGCCACTCAGGGGTCCTTTCCACTTGCATTGTATGTGGCAGTTTTCTGGGAGAGAGATTTGAGCCTGAACAGGCCTGAGCAGTTCGGCTGTTTGGTTGGATGTAAGGCTCTGGCATAGGGTGAATACCAGTCCCTTTCAAACACATCTTTAAGTTGCTTAATGATGCTTGTCTCGTTGCTCACGTCCACCTGGTTGATAACAAGGCCTGTGCCAGCATTCTGGGTAAAATCATTCCCTACCCAGTCAAAATTTCCTGCAAACAGACAAAGAGAAACATGGGTGAGGAATGAATAGTCACTGAGGAATGTTTCCTCTTAATGAAGAACATAGCAGATTTTTTGAAAAAAATAAACACCCAGGAATAACAACAGGGGAACAAACTTGTGTTGACAGCTCAGAGGAGGGGGTAGGGTAGGGTGAGGTGAAGAAGCTTTGCATATGGCATATTAATACTTGCATATTATTTTGGCATTTTTCTGCAGCTTAGCTTACTTGAAAACTCCAAACAAGGAATCTGCTGTTCCTTTTTTGGTAAATGTTATTTCTTATTGACATTCACAAGACACACTAAATATAACAACATTTAAAATATATCGGGAGACACTTAAAAATCCTGTGAACACTCACTGCCTTCTCAGAGAGACAACACTGAACCCATATGTACAAATGAAGGAATCTAAATACACTGCTCAAATGCTTCCAAGTCATGGAGAACACTGAAATCAGAGGAAGAGGATCTGTTCTACAAGAACACACAACACATAGCAGCTTTTTCTTTTCCTGGTGAGGAGTCAGATTCCTTTTATCTAGATTCTACTGCAGTAGCTCAGAGAGCAGATTCCCAGTGTGATTACTGGGCTCTGCTGTATTCCGCATGGCTACTTTGCTCACAAAGACCCCATATTTGAAGAAACTCTTCTCATCTTGCCCTGTTCTTAACCTCTGCTGGGCTTAAGCCCACTAGTTGCAATCACCATGTCCATCCATCTCTTTGAAGGTGTTCCTTTTTTCCACTGACCTTTGCTCTTCCAGGTGTGATGTCCTCCTCCAGTAACCTACTGATAATGTGCTCAAATAGGTGAGATGAAGTGTCACTACTCTTGCATCTAAGGAACACGCTGGCTGTGCTTTATGACAGATTGGTTTGTTCTTCTGGTATTACAATGCTGTTGTTTAGGTACAGTTGGAACCAACTCATAGCTTACCCTCGAGTGGGTTTTTAGAGGCAATAAATTGCATGAGAGGAAGATGCCCATGTTTCTCCTTTGTAGTAGTTGAACAACATGTAACATGGGATGGTAGCAGAGCCCCTTACCACTCAGCCCCCAGAGCTCCCTGCCCTTGGTAAATGGGTTTTTTGCAACACCACAATTCAAAGGCATTAGTTACCCTTCCATCTTCCTTATTTACTGTCAAACTTTCACATGCATATGAAGCCACTGAAAATACTCTGCATTGGGTCAACTGTATCATAGTTGCAAAGACTGTAGCCTGGATCAGGTGCACCTTAGTCTCCAGCCTGACATCATTGCTCTCCAGTACTTTTGAGAGGTCTCTCACAGCTGACTTTCCCAATGCAATTCACCTCTTGATTTCCTGGCTGCTGTTACCAAGAGTGTTGACTGTGGAGCCAAGTAAACTAAAACTGTTAACTATCTCAATCTCTTCACCATCCATCCTGATGCTGTCACTTGGCCCAGTGGTGAAAATCTTTGTTTTCTTGATGTTGAGCTTCAATCCATATTGAAGGCTGCAGTCCTTGACTTTCTGCAGCAAGCACTTCAGGCCCTACTCAATTTCAGCAAGCAGGGTTGTGTCATCTGCCTAACACAGATTGTTGATGACTCTTCCACCAATCCTGATGCCATATTCCTCCTCGTACAGCCCAGCATCCCGATGATCTGTTCTGCATACAGATTGAAAAGGTATGCAGACAAAATACATCCCTGTCAGATCCCCTTCTTGATTTTGAACCATGTAGTGTCCCCTTGCTCTGTTCTGTCAACTGCCTCTTAGTTCAAGTATAAGTTTCGCATAAGCACAATCAAATGTTTTGGGATTCCCATTCTTCTCAGAGTCAACCATAACTTATTGTGATCCACACATTCAAAAGCCTTTTCATAGACAATGGAGCACAGATAGACATCTCTGCTTTCTGCCAAGATCCATCTAACATTAGGTATAATATACCTAGTACCGCAACCTCTTCTAAATCCAGCCTGCACATCTGGCAGTGCTATGTTGACCTATTGCTCCAATTGTTTTTGGAAAATTTTCAGCAGAATCTTACTTGCATGTGATATTAATGATATTGTTCGATAATTTCTGCACTGGGTTGTGTCACCTTTCTTTGGAATGGGAACAAATATAGATCTTTTCCAGTTAGTTGGCCAGCTGGCTGTACTCCAGATTTCTTGGCATAACTTAGTGAGCACATCCAGGGCAGTGCCTGTTTGCTGAAATATGTCAATTGGTATGCTGTCAACTCCTGGAGCTTTGTTTTTTTGCCAGTTCCTTCAGAGCAACTTGAAGTTCCTCCTTCATCACCACATGCTCTTTCTAATATGTTATGGGAAATTTCAATCCTTTCTCCATCTATCATGCTGTTGCCTATTGGTTCAGTTGTTAGAATTTCTGTTTCCTTAATATTGAGATGCAATCTATATTGAAGGCTGACGTTTTTGATCTTCTTCAGCAAGTGCTTCAAATCCTCCTCACTTTTAGCAAGCAAGGTTGCTAGGTTTCTGTACAATGATGGTTACTGATGCGTTTTCCTTCAATTCTGGCCACATGGTTTTTCTTAGAGTTCAGATTCTTGAATAATTTGCTCAGCATCCAGATTGAATAAGAACATACAAAGGATACAACCCTGACACACACCTTTCTTAATTTTAAACCATGTAAATCGCAACAAATTGTGGTTAACTCTAGGAAGAATGAGAATTCCAGAATATTTGAGTGTGCTTATGTGAAACCTATGATTAGACTAGGAGGCAGTCATCATATCAGAGCAAGGAGACACTGCATGGTTCATCATTCAGGGATGTGTCCTATATCCATACCTCTCCAATCTATATGCAGAACAGATCATCCAGGAGGCTGGGCTCTATGAGGAGGAGTATGGCATCAGGACTGGAGGAAGACTTATCAACAACATGCGTTATGCAGATGACACAACCCTGCTTTCTGAAACTGAGGAGGACTGCAGCCTTGAATATGTACTGAAGCTCAACATCGAGAAAACAAAGATTCTCACCGCTGGGCTGATTGGCAGCATCATGATAGATGGTGAAGAGATCTAGACTGTTAAGAGCTTTAGTTTGCTTGGCTTCACAATCAACAGTACTAGCAGCCAGGAAACCAAAAGATGAATTGCATTCAGAAAGTCTGCAGTCAGAGATCTCTCCAAAATACTGAAAAGCAATAATGTCAGTCTGGAGACCAAGTTGTTCCTGTTCCAGGCCATAGTCTTTGCAATTACTTGATATGCATCAGAAAGTTGGACAATGACCAAGGAGGATAGAAAGAAAACAGATGCCCTTGAGCTGTCATTCTGGGAGAAGAGTATTGAATGGACTTCCAGGAGAACAAACAAGTTCATCCTTGAGAGAGTGAAATCAGGCTGCTCCTTGGAGGCAAGGATTCTGAGACTTCATCTGACATATTTTGGGCATGTTTAAAGGAGGCACCAGTCCTTGAAGAGGGATATCATGCTTGGAAGGGTGAAGTGACAGTGCAAGAGAGGTATATCCTCGATGAGATGGACTGATTCAGTGACTGGGGTAATGAGGATGGGTGTGCCAGAGACAATAAAGTTGACATAGGATAGAGCACGTTGCAGGTTATTGTACATAGGGTTGCTGTAAGTCGCAAGTGACTCGACGGCACATAACAACAACAACAACAACAGTGTTCCCTTGCTCTGTTTGTACAGCAGCATTTTGGTCCAGGTACATGTTTTACATAAGCACAATTGACTGTTCTGAGATTCTCATTCTTCTCAATGCTAGCCATAATTTTTTATGATCCACTCAGTCAAATGCCAACAGTGTATACAAGTCTTAATATCTCCACATCCTCTCCAGAATTTATGGTTCATTATTATATTGCATATTGCTATTGTTGCTGGGGTGAGATGATATCTCATTGTTTGTATTTGCAACTCTTAAAAAGTTAGTGTGTTCTAAATATTGTAGTAGAGCTGGGCATTCCATTAGAGCTAAATATGGAATGAGAAGTATGGGAATCCCAAAACCCTTAATTAAGCTCATATGAAACCTATATCTATACCAAGAAACTATCTTCTGAACAGAGAAAGGGAACACTGCATGGTTTAAAATCTGGAAATGTGTACATCTAGACTGTATTCTTTCTCCATATGTATTCAATATGTATACTGAGAAAAATCATTGAAGAAGTTGGACTCTGTGAAGAAGAGGTGTCATCAGGAGTGGAGGAAGACTCATCAACAATCTGTGTTATGCAGATTACACAACCTTTCTTGCTAAAAGTGAGGAGGACTTAAAGCAGTTTCTGCAGCAGATGAAGACTATAGTCTTCATATGGATTGCATCTCAGTATCAAGAACAAAACCCCTCATCACTGGACTGATAAGCAAGAGTATGATAGATGAAGATTGAAATTGTCAATGATTTGTCAACAAATTGTCAAAGAGTTCATATTACTTAGATACACAATAAATACCTTTGGTACCAGCAGTCAGGAGATAAGGAGATGTATTGGACAAGTATGCTGTCAGGGACCTCTCCAAAGTAATCAGGAGCAATGATATTTGTTTGAAGACTATGGTGCACTTAGTTAGAGCCACCATGCCTTTTTCTCAATCACTTGCTGTGCATCTAAGAGTTACACAATGAATAAAGATGACATAAGAATTGATGCCTTTGAGTTGTGATGTTGGAGAAGAATATTGAATATTACATGGACTGTAAGAAGAGTAAACACACACACACACACACACACACACACACACACATGAAAAACTGCAACCAGAATGCTGTTCGGAGACAATAATGGTGACGCTTCATCTCATATACTTTGGGCATTTTGCTAGGAGAAGCTATTCTTTTGAAAAGGACATTATGCTTAGTAAGGTGAAGAATCAGCAAAGGAGAAAGACCCTCAATGAGATATATTGACACAGCGACAGCAGCGATGGGCTCAAGTGTGTCAGGGATAATGAGGATGGCATAGGATAGGACAGGCTTGCTCACAGGGTCTCTAAGAGGTGTA